ATTGCATTACCTTTTCCGAACTGCCTCAGAGAAGGGTATAGTTTCTTGACAATGTCTAACAGAAGCTATACTTCCCTTTTGGACACCGCATATACCCGTAAGGGATTCCCTGTGCCGTGTCGTCGTTATAGTGTGAAAATTAAGAAGGCTTTTATCTATAACAATATAAATATATTATAAACATTTTATTAATTAATTAATTAATTAAGGACTATAATAAATTTTTAAACTTAGTAAGAATGGTGATCCTAGTGTAGCAGTTGGGTTATCATCTTCTAAGCAGTAGGTCCAATATTCAATTCTCATCAGTAACAGATTTTGAAAAAATAGACCTATTCTGACAAACTTATCTGTGATCTGGAGTTTGTAGATTCTGTAATTATAGTTATACCAAGACTAACTTTAGAAGTATGCAATGTTACATGAATAAATCCAGAAAGTATATATTCAGATTAGCAGCCTGCTTGGAAATCCTGAGCAGAGAAGTAGTACAACTTTCAACAGTGCCACCTGTAAAGATCTTGATTTGCTGAAGAAAATCTAGAACAGGTAACCTATACAGACAAGAACCTCTAGGTAGAGGGTCCACCAATCTGATCACCAATTGATCCAAACATGAAGTCACATTATGCAGAACTAATTGGATTGATAGTATAGGAAGACTTGCAAGAGTAGACAAGGTAACAATAAGGTTGTAAAAGGAGAATACTAGGATTGTATAAACTTCATAAGAGTTGTAAACTAGGTTTAGCTGTAATTTAGGATACAGAAGGCTCTAGTAACGATGTCTTGAGGATAATCTACATGAAATAAGACAAGGGTCTTAAGGGTATGGGTAAGCATCTAGAACTTCTTGACTGACATCATGTAACAGAGATGTTCTAATGATAACAGTAAGGATTGCAGTACAAAGGATTTAAATAAGCAATACTTGTAGTTGGGTTGCAGGTATGGTAGCTAGTATAGAACCTATATATAAGTGAACTATTTAAATTAGACATCAAAAGTGTACATGTAGCTAGATGTACTCTTTAATGTAAGGTAACTCCTTTAAGGTAATCGGACCATGAGTTACCATGTCCTATAATACTGAATAAAAAAACCCTAGTCCCCAAAAGACTAGCTTAAATATAAAAAAAATAAATAAATAAATAAAATAAAATTTTAAACCCTCAAAGTTTAAAATAAATCCAAAATCTAGGTTAAGTTTTTACTAAAATATATTTATTAAACATTATATATACTGTATATACGTATATATGAACCCTTAAAATTAACAAAAAATTTAACTAAACTTTTATAATTTATATCTTGATAACCACTTAATTAAATTTAATAATTTTTTTTTTTAGTTGAATTCTACAGATTTGTAAAATTTAAATAAAAAAATTTATTAAATTTGATCAAGTAGTTGTCGAGATATAAGTTATAAAAGTTTTAATTAAAACTTTTTTTAAAATTCAAATTAGTTGGTTTCTACTTTCGAGGGCACATATATGAAATAAATTGAAACTAGCTTATCTCGTTTTTGATCCTATAGATTTATTTTATTTTATAATAAATTATATTTTATTATAATATATATAAGTTATCTTTTTAAGACTTTGAGACTTAGAGAATTGGATTTAGAGTTCGGAATCAAATGTATTTTTCATATGCTAAAACCGATTAAAGCCAAATAAATCCCTAAATTGGATTATTGTAATAATTTTATATTATTTTTACTAAATAACTTAATATGCATAATTTTTAAATTTAAACCGCATTAAATACTATAATTACTATCAATAAAAATCAAGTTATTAATACATAAATAATTTGATTAGGCCAATTACAATCAGCAAACAGTACTAATGAAGTTGAAATAAGATAATTTTATACGTTAATTTATTTAATAATTTGATCTATTTTGATAAAAAAATGGATTTTCTACACAAAAAGTAATTAGATTCAGGAGCTATCTCAGCAAGTTTTGAAATTAGAGGGTCGAGATTGTCTTTTGATACATCATGCTGAAAAAGAAAACGACAATTATATATGCATGGAGTGTAATAATTATAGTAAAAGTAATAAACAATTAATTTTATACAAACCAATTCTGAAACCCATAATTCATAGGCAATGGCATATCGGTTTTGAAGAGTCACATGTTCACCGTCAATATCAGAATTCGTAAGAGTACAGTAACGAGCAAATTCCAAATCATTTTCATAATTTGGCCACAAATTCAATATAATGTTTCCATCATCACCATAAGGTTCAATGCTTTTAGAATCAATTGGATGAATATGACCCAATGAACTTAACCATTTCCAAGTGACGGACAGAAACCTTAAGTGATACCATAACGTTTCATGTCCAGGATATTTTAGAATAAGATCTCTGGTGAAACGTATTTCATTGAACCATAGAAGGACAATATGATCCTCTTGAGTAGAAGACAAATTTTCCGAAACAATGATTTGACTCAACAAGTTATCTCTAGAAATTCCAAGAAAATTAATAATTGTGGAATCATAGAATTGAGATTTCTTTATCAAACATATTTGTCGATGATGAAACCCTGAGTGATCAGAAATGTTTGTTCGAACCCATTTTTCCATATTCAATAATTCATTATCTAAAAACGAGAGTGAATCAGAAGAATAATTTGGTAAAAGAGAGATGATCCAATGCCTATGGGTCCAAGTGTAATAATTTTTAGGATATAATTCAGCAACGCGACGAGTTATAGGAATTTCAAGTCGGAGTAATTCCATATCAAAATGATTATCAGATCGATGACGTGATAAAATATTCGAGATGACCCATTTCCTTTTGCAAAGAAGTTATAAGAATTTCAAATAATACAAGAGTCGTCAAGATCGAACGAATAGTTTCATGATATCATTAGATACCGGTGATGCCAAATAGTAGAATATTTTGTGTGTTTCGGAAACGTGAAAATGAGATTTATAAATTTCAATTCATCGACAGGATCAAGGAGATCATTTAAAATTAATTTTTTCCTAAAGGTGAATTATTTGAATTATTTGGTGAATTATTTGGTGAATTATTTGGTGAATTATTTAGTGAATTATTTGGTTAATTATTTGGTCAATTATTTGGTTAATTGATGTAAAAAAAAAAAAAGAATCATGAAAAATTTGTAACCTTGCGTTGATAGCTGTATAGAAGTCTGGATTAATTAATAATAAACATCGAGTTGACCGTTTTACGAGTTCGATAGTATCATCGTTAACGCGCGCAATAATTTTATTGCCCGAGTATCCTTTATCGCGATCGTTGTAAAGATTCATGAATATTCCGTGGGCCTCTTTAAAAATTTTATGCAAGTGTTCTAGTGGGATGCCTAGATTAGGACCAATTAAAAGAAATGGATAATATTGATCTTTCTGAAGAGTGCTTTGGTACGGTAATAAACAAATCTCTTCGCTGAAGAGAATATACAATTTATTAGAATGTGAATATATTTATTAAAATATAAAATTCCAAATAGCAAAAAAGTACATTTGATGAGAGTCTATAATGTTATTGAGAAGTTCATATAAAGTCTTTCCGTCCATTGATATTTTTTACAAATAAGAAAATTGACGTTAACACTAATAAAAAAAAAAAAATCTTGTGCACTTTAAATTTGTGAAACATGATAAAATAACAGGATTTATTTCACATATGAGCGAGCGTGCGCATGTACACGAAATCTTTTTTAAATTTTTATATAAAGTCCAATAATGTTTTATATATTGAGCTTGAAAAATTTACATCAAGAAACACGAAAAAAATAGTTTACACAAAGTATGAAGCATATTACAGTTATCATATTATCCAAGTAAAAATTAATGTCAAAACCGAGATTTCAGCAACATTCTTCAAAGCAACAGCAAAGACAAGCACCAAGTGCGCACCCTAAACATAGGGAATTGTCTTTCTTTTGTTCAGGAGGCGGTTGTTGGACGACAACTTGGGGAGGTGGCCTTTTGATGAATCAGAGTCAATTTTATATCAATTTAAAGAGAGTTAATTATTAAAAATAAAGTGCTTACGTAGGTTGGTAATAACCTGATTGTTGAGGTGGAGGTGGATAGTAACCTTGGGGCTGTTGGGGTGGAGGTGGATAGTATCCTTTATCAGACATTTAGAAAAAATTTATTTTCAAAGTTTTTTTTTTTTTGTACAATAAAATTAACAATTAACGGTAAGTATGTTACTGTACATAAGTACGTGCTTTCATGGGCTATTTATTTATTTTCAATCATAGTGATTTATTTAAAGAAGCGGAGATATTAATTTCCTGATGCGGTTTCATGGCGCTAAAGTTTTGTATAGGTCATTGAAATTATTGTTTTTATTCTTAGTGGGTCGAATATTCTGAGCATAGATTAGCTTTTATTTATAGAATAGGTGTTTTTTTATTCTCCTTTTTTTTTTAAGTAAAATTTATTCTTGATAATACTGATACAGTGATACTGTAACGGTAATGACCCTTTTCTTATACGCACGTGACTCAAAGGTGTAATTTCATTTAATAATAACGATGATAACAACAATATATCGATATGATTCTTTTGTGAAGCATTGGCGTAAAGCACCGCATCAATTTACTACCCAACACATCGTTTTACCTTTGGATCGATCATCCTGTCCGATTCCCAGTACAGTATGAACTGCGATACGGGTCTCCTTGCTCTTTTGCGTAAGTACCTAATTCAACTTTTGTTTATGCATGATAATGTGCCAAGAGTTTGGTTTAGTATTAGTATGAGAAGAATCCTGTTTGATCTTTTTGTCTTATTTAATCAAACGAAAAGAATGTCACTCAAGGTAATGTCTTGACGATTACGAAGATATGTTCAGATATAAACTGCCTTTATACCCATTTTTTGATGTGTCTTAATCGATGTATTGCTTGCCAAGAACTGTGATCTATCAACTCTCCCTAACGCTAATGCATGTTACATCCGATCGATGCAAAAAAGGTCACACATCCGCGGATTTTTTAAGAATTCCACGGATGAATATGTAAAGTATATATTGAATACGTATGTAATAGCTATTAATATAGCTAAAGATTATTGCAAATATAGTAAATATATAATTGATTATAAATATTTATACGTACATACGTAATAGCGACATATACATAACACTTTAACAAACATGTTAATTTTCCGGAGGTAGAAATTCATTTTCGTTTGATTGGTTAAGTTTTGTAGATCTACCCGTGATATCAGAAAACAAGAAAACAAGAAAATGAAAGTCTTACGTATACATAGTAAGAAAATAAATGAATAAAAAAATATATATTAAAAATGTATGTATAACAATGTAATAAAGTAATAATTGCTCTTAACTATGACCACACAAATTTAATTTCTTGATTTTCATAACATGAACTTTTTTAACAGACCGGCTGACTGGCTTTTTTTTTAAAAACTCCACCCGGTTATTAAAACATATAAAAATTTTTATACAGGTTTCGAGTTTTGACCCGGCCGATTATGAATCAATTAAATACGTTATATATTTCACTGTTCATAAACCCAGACCCTTTAACGAATCTAAATACATTCAAGAACTAAAAGCCTATCTTAAACATTATATTCAACCTCTCTATTCACAACCTTGCTTTATCTAAAAACCAGACTTAGGATCTCTTAAAAAAAACTTTTTTTTCTTTACACTAGTTCAAAACGTCGCTGTCAGCTAACCTCTCTTAAATTAAAGATTATTAGAGATTGCTTTTAAAGTTAGCTTTCTAGCACCTCTTCGCTAAAGGCAATGTTTGGTTACTCGTGTAATGTTGCGTTCTCAAAAAGTTACCCGGGCGTTTGATTTGCATTAGCCAATCAGACGAATTTCTACCTATGATACTATGAAATGAGTAAAGTGATACCAAGGTTGCGATTTTAATTAGGTTTTCCCTGCAGTAATATCGATATATACAAACCAAAAGGGAGACGTCTAAAACCGTGTCCAGTCATATGGTTTTGATTTTTTTAAATTAAAGTTAGCATGTCTTATAGTAAAATTGTCTTTCCGACATTTTTTATTAATACACTAAGATGGTTTAGGTTGTCATGTATTTTTTGCTGTTTTCCCTTTTTTTGAGCTAATCTGTATCGATCTAAAATAAACAATTCTATTGGCCCTATATTACAGCTTTAAACAACCCCCAAAAAGGAAATCCGATTTTATAAATAAACTAAGTGCATGAAATAAAAATTTGGGGTTAGGGCCATAACATTAGAAACTTTAAAAACAGATTAAACGTTCATTATAAGGTAGATATGGTATTATGACACATACGGATGTTGTGGCGCATCAAAGATAATCGACAATATCTATACTTGTTGGACAAACCCGGGATTGTCCGGTTATCAAACCCGAATTCCAAATCAAAACTCTCAAATTTCAAATCTATGTAATGACCGTCCAATAAAATTATAAATAATAATATATACTCAAAAATTGATGCTAGCAAAATCTGTAAATTATTATATATTACAAGATTTTACTTGCATTGGTTATATGTAAAATAGCTTTTGTAGTAAAACTACATGTAAATACTATAAGCTAGTTAAAGAATATCCATGTTTTCATTTTGATGTTTGGGGTAGTTTTTTAATTTTTTTTTTTGGTATTAAGATAAGGTAGTTTTTTAATTTAAAGTTATGCATTATTATAATAACATAGTTATTGTAAATTTTTTTTTTTTGATATTAAACTAGCCTCTTTTGGGCCTAGGGTTTTATTTAGTAACTTGAACATAAGAACTCATAGCCAAAGTCTCAAAGAAGTCACTTTATATTAGAAAGTACAACTAGTCATATGTACACTTTTGGTATCTAATTTAAGTAGTTTGCCAATGGTTTTACACTAGTTGTCATATCTGCAACCCAATTAGGAGCATTGTCTATTTAAACCCTCTGTGCTACAATCCTTATTGTATTACTAGATCATTTTCAATACAGATGTCAGTTAAAAAGATCTAGATACTTTTACCTATTTCTCTTAGAACCTTATATCTTATTTCATGCAGTATATCCTCAAAAGCATCATTACTAAAGCCTTCTATATCCTACATACAGCTGATCTAGTTTTATGTAACACATTATGTTATAGTTATTTAACATTTACAGTTACAAGGGTTACCTGTTTAACCACTACGTTACACTATTTTTATTCTTGTAAAGTTCATCCAAACCTGATATATATTATTCTGACTTCTTCTCTTCATCCTTCTACTATCTAACTCAGAATCCAACAGACTTCCCAAACTTTCAATCCAGATAGCCTAGTATGATATACTTTTGATATCTTTTTCCTTTGATGATTTTAGTAGCCTGGTTGGTCATATGCTTCTCTATACATCTTTTCATCTGATTGCATGTCTGCCTATTCCTTATTAGGGTTTCCTGGGCTTCTATCAGTTCAATAGTACTGTTAAAGGCTTGTGTTACTCTTTATTCAGAAATTTTCAAGTAAGTTTCTATCTTCTCAGTTTTTTGGTTTTCTACATCTGGTGGTCTTATTGTAAGTTTGTACCAAAGTCTTATATAACACTAGTTATTAACATTCCTCTATGTATGTGTAATGTTACACTTTGCATAAATGCCCCAGGCTCCTAATGATAAATAGAACCTGATTAGTTGTACCCAAAATTACAGATACCTAAATCCAACTGATCAACAAGAGACAGTTTACCATAACACAGATTAATTACCAAATTTCATTATAAGTAGGATTTGAACTTTAGACCTGCCACTTAGAGAATGACAACCCAACCACTATACTAGGAATGTCATCTTTATTGTAAATTTTTTTTTTTGTATTTATTTTTCAAAATTTGATATAAGATTTAAAATAAATAGCAGTTAAATTACAATTTAAAAATTTTACTATCCAATTAGACCTCAAGATCTTATATAATAAAAAAGTATAAAAGAATCAAAACAAAAAATATTTATAGTTTAAAATTTTGCTTATAAAAATATTTTCTATATATTGTTATAAGTAAAAGCTTTTTTAATTTTCATACTATAATAACAATACAGTATAGAAAATCTCTTATAGGTATATGCGGTGTTTAAGAGAAAAGTATAGTTTCTGTTAGACATTATCAAGAAACTATACCCTTCTCTGAGGAAGTTCAGGAAAGATAATGCAATACTAATAACTTTACTTTATTTTACTAAGAGATAATAAATTTTGTCTGTAGAAATTATTCTAGAAAGAAAGTATCAATACAGTTTATAGTCAAAAGCTGTTTATTAAAATAATAACAAGAAGAGCTATTCTTAGGTTTCTGTTCCTAAAGAATCCCAAGATGTGTTTACAATATTAAAGAGAAGAGAAATGTCTGTTGCTTAATCACATTTGGAGAATTTAGCAGGGTTTATATATCTGTAAGCTAAGTGACTAAATGACCAAGTGACTAAGTAACTAAGTGACTAAGTGACTAAGTAATTAAGTAACTATTTAATTACTAAGCGACTGGAAGGTTCTAGCAACTAGTAATTAATGATTACTAAGTGACTAATTATTAAGCAACTAAGCAACTAAGTGACTAAGTGGTTAAATAACTAAGTGACTAAGTGACTAAGTGACTAAATAATTACTAATTGACCAAAAAGTTCTAGTAACTACTAGTAATAAAAATAATAATACAATAATAGAATAACTAATACTAAATAATAATAATAATAAAATAATAATAATAATTAATAATAAATAATAATAATTCATTCTATAACATTTCTGTTTCTTTTAAAAATTTACTTCATAAATTTTATGTTCTAATTGATTCAAGAAATTGGGTGTACTTATCATTTAGCAACTTGATAATATATGCTGTAATTATATACTTCAGCAGTGTAGTTATTTTTTTTAGTTACAACTTAAGGACTTTGTATATTCTGAGAGCATTTTTCTAAGTATCTTTTGCTCTTTTTGTTACTTGAGTATTTTGAATAAGGTCTTTAATTTTTGAAGAATTATTAGACTTCAAAATTATTTGTTTTAAGAAATAATAAGCTTCAATTTTCTTGTTGAGGTTATGTCAAGTATATCCAGGAGTAGATAAAAACTTTAGGATTCGATTAACTTGTTTTTTTCATATTCCTTTAGAAAAAGGGT